TAAAATTAAAAATACAGAGTTCTTAAATTTACTATTTACAGTTATTTTAAAGTTAAAATATGTTAGTGTCAGTAATATTTACAAATTCTAAGTACAGCGGTATTTATAACTAAGAATGGTGATCATACAATTAAACTGTAAGTAAAGTATTCAAGGAAAAAAATTAACAGAATTTGAAAATCTGTTTGTGATTAATCAAATTAATGAGAAAAAATATGAATTAAGAATTAATTAAGCAAAAATTAAAAAAACAACAATTTACTACGGTAAGAAATTTACTTATTCTGCCAATAAAAATTTACAAAAGTAACTTAGTTTATCAAAAATTATTAAAAAGAAAAGACTTAGAATAACAACCAGACCATAGGCTATTGTATAAGTCGAGAACAAAAATAACATCCTGTGTTTAGTGTAAATTCGTGAGTAAATGACAGTGGACCATTTCAATTTGGTATAAATGTAATGTGGCATAAAACTAAGTAAAATAAAGATATAATAAGATAAAATAGATAAAAAACATCTGAATTGTAACTTTGCTATAACTCGGATTCTATTACTCAATTGAAGAAAATAAATTTAGCTAAACTTAGAATTCTGCACATTTGTGTGAGTATAGAGACGGGATTAATTTAATTTATTCCAAATGGAATAAGGGAGGCAAGCTGCCTTTATTTATAAGAAAATAAAATAAGAGACACTTATCTCAACCAAATCCTTGAGTTCCTGAGCAATTATATTCCAATCTAGACTGAAAATTTGCCTGCAGGCCCAGTATAAAACTGCACGGCTGTACGTAATCGGAATATCTAACACCATTCTCGTACTCGACCAAACGCAGGATATGCTCCCCGTAGAATTAAAATCTGAAATTAAAAAAAAACACACATTACGGGTTCTAATACTTAACTAAAAAACTTAAAGTCGCATGTCGTGGACATAAATTGCCACGTGACCTTGACAAAAAAGAGGATACGCAACCACGTCGTACTTAAATTAATTAAGCAATTAGCAAAATAGTTCAGCAAGCAAATCTACAACATACTACAATAAAACCACAATTACATACCAAGTTGAAGGTTTGTAGAATTCTTTCAAAATAAACTATGAACAAGTAAAAATTAAACGCGATGTATAGCCTGTTCGTCACCAAGGTTGGCAAGGAAGAGAGTATGTGATCTTAAGGTCTATTTAAATTAGAACCAACAGAAGCGAACGAACGCAGCAACGAATTCGTATGCTCGTTCGTTTGTTATCTGCAAGCAGGAGCATGTAAATTAGAGCGAACTTTCGCAATCGTCGATGATCCGTTTGCAATGTCGGATACAAATGAGGATATAAAAATTAGCGCCGCTAGTTTTATAGTTATTGCGGGACTTTTCGAAAAAAAAAGAAGAGAGAGTGGTGTTCTAATTTGTTAAAAAAGTAAGCAAAACGGGAAGTGAAGCTGACAATTTGGGCCAAGTTACAAATTTCTGTAGAATATATATGGAAGATGTTGAATTTTTGTTGCATTTGATTTAAGATTGACACAAATTTCCAAAAAGGAATTCAGTTTGGCAAATGCACAGCCGTCGTGAATTCGTTCGCTACTAACTATACTGTCCACATTGACCACCGATTTCCTTTGATGTTTCGCTGATTTACCGACATGTGTTGGAACATGCACAGACACGAACAAGTTCGTTCGCTCCCGTTTTGTTCTCCATGTAAATTACGTCAACTAAGCAAACGAATTCGTTCGTTCGCTTAGTGTAAGTAACCCCGTGCGTTAAACAAACAGCGATGGAAGCGGGTATAAAAAAAACACCTAGGACTGAATTCATTCTGTGGAAACCCGGCCGGCCTGTTTGCTTTTTATCGCTTATAATTCAAACGCGGCGAATGTGTTACGGCTATTATTAGGGCGTTATTATGTGATTATTAAAGTGAAATCCCGCACGCATCCGATATGAACTGCTATTTTATTTTCGAGGGAGAAAAGGCCAGAGAGGAAGCGTGATAATTTGATGCGGATTTTTTTACTGGTTTTATACGGCGGTTTTACGACTTTGGAATTGTGCCTTTGTTAAAGAAAAGCTAGAACAGATTATATATACGGTTGAAATACGTGGCTGGAGAGAAAATTGTTTGCTAGAGATTTTAGCAAAAATTGAATTACAAAAATATAAAAATAAAATCATTCCAAATAGCTTTGTAAGTATAGCATTTCAAGAGTTAACTTGATTTTCTAGCTACTTAGCTTAGTTTGCAGGCTTCTATGGCGATTGTAAATGGCTGAATAATTTCCCGATTTATTGCCTTGTCGTCGGTATAGGCTTCTTGATATTTCAAAAGAGATTAATAAGTTACAGTCGGATTAAATCCTTTGTATGGTATTTATATATGGTGCATTCATTGACCAATGACATTCCGGGCTTGTTCATGTTGTTCTGGTCCTTGATTTTTGTGGGTGAATTGTTTCCAAGTTAAGGGTAGTTCTAACCCCTCTATTCGAGTGAAATTATTTTTATATTTCTATAATTCTATCGTCGCTCTATAAAGTCTTGTAAAATCTTGGACAAAATCTTCTCCAATTCATCAAAATTCTGGAATTAGTTACTGCTAATTTTGAGCGATGTTATTTCTGAAGTGACACTTGTACTCCTTTAACCTCGTACTGTTTGTCCAATATATATACTTTATTTCCACAGACACGGAATACTGTATAAGCCGGGGTTACGAAGTAGATTGTTCTTGCAGCTGCTCTTAGGAAAGGTTGTCCCAATTTTCTCTGAATTGTTGTAGATGTTATTAATTTTCTGGATCCTTAAGATGCGACTTATCTTGTCAATGAATCCTTGTATACGCTGTTGCCAGATATTTATCTTTTTCCTTATCCTGCTGATGGTTTGCTCGATATTTCTATTCATTTATTCATTTGTTCTAGGATCGTATCTCGACAAATTGGCGAAAATATCTCGTTTTTTTTTGAAAAAATTTAGTTCAGTAAACAAAGACATGTAAAAATTAGGAAGAATTCTGTAGAATTGAGTAAACTACTTTACCCCAGCGGAACATTAGGGCTTCATTTTGAAAAGGGCGTCCAAAGTCCACAGAAAACATTTTTTTTTTTAATTTAAATAAAACTAAACAGTTTTAGAAAAAAGTGTTTTTTATTCCAAAAAAACGGCTATAAATTGCTTTTTTAAACACTTCCTTAAAACGAAAACATATTTTTTTACGAAATGTATTTTTGTAAAATTGCTAAATATTTGATAGTTTTTGCAAAAATTGAGTTTTTCGAAGTATCAATAAATCATACAGTAATGCACTTACGTGACCCATCTTGGGCTTTTGATTTTCTCTAACAGTTGTATTTTTCTGTGCAAATTCTGCACATATTGCAAAATAATTAGAAATATGTGAAAAATATACTAAATCTGACTTCTTTTTTCGGGTCAAACAATATAGATCCTTTTCTTATTGTTGAAATTTAACCGGAATGGCATTATTGCCATTTGAAAGCTGAATTTTTTTCACAAATTAAAAAAAAATGTCCTACGAGAATTTTTTATTTTTTTTAATTGCGACGACCTCATTTATTAATATTGAGGTCTGAAATTTACACATGTTATAGTTGAATACTTTTACTTCAATATAAAAAATAGTCCGCAATGATTGCTTACAAAATAAAACAATTAATTTTCCGATATGTCGTCTAGATTTCCATCGACAGTAAAAAAAGTGAAAAAATCACGTAATTTTGCAACTTGTTTAGAATTTGCCAACTCAGCGTCACTTCTTTCGAGTTGCTTTTTTGATATTATCATTCTACATACCCTTCCCCGTCATAAAATGCAATAATTTTTTCAGATTTTTCAGGTTTTATGATCTAATTCGACTAAAGTAACAGTAGTAATGATTAATTGATATGGTGGTAACGTATGCACATGCACCAACACCTGTAAACAGAGGTTAAAAGTACCGGTGGAATCAGCGATTCCAAACATATCTAATCTTTTTATTGAGATAAACAGAAGATATTAAAAAATATATATTCTATACAGAAGGTATTAAAAAATATACAAGGTCGGAAAGTCCCCATGGTTCATCGGCCGTTACGTGAGAGCGATAAAGAAAGTCATAGAAATCCGTGCGATAGAGAAAGATGGCTATAATGAAAGCGTCTAATAGTCACCGCCCATTTCGCCCTTCCACAAATAAAATCCACTTCTTAGTTGTGGAAGGGCGAAATGGGCGGTGACTATTATACGCCTTCATTATAGCCATCTTTCTCTATCGCACGGATTTCTATGACTTTCTTTATCGCTCTCACGTGACGGCCGATGAACCATGGGAACTTTCCGACCCTGTATACTCTATTTGCACAAGTTAGCCAATGGTATTGGTATTAAAAAAATTAAAAATATTATATATAGTAATATATATTAATATAACAAATTATATTATATTTAGGTACCTAATAAGATATCAAATATAATAATTATTTTTCAATATGCTTGCGATCAGGCCAAGTAGAAACTATTTCAATTCAAATCAAGTTTTGAAACTTCAAGCTACTTTAAATCCTGAGTTGTATATGTACTGGCAAAACACAAATATTTAGAGAATGTGACAGCATCGAAGTAACTTCCATAAGAGTATTAATTAGTGGAAATGTCGGAGCAGTTCAATTGTTGACGTACTTTCACTAACTGTAACATAAGAAACTGCCGGATGAACATTTGTAACAGTTTCGAATTAGTACAATTGTTGTTGAAACAAACTTTAAGTTCCTCTCATATACACGGAGAAGTTGCTGGCACTACATAAGTACTTACTACCAATTAGTTACATGTCGCATTTTCTTTCGGATGCCTTGACTTTTTGTTAAAAATAAATGCTTTGAATAAGGGGTGGAAATATATTTAGTTCCTAAAATAGTGTTAAATAACTAACTATCGCCTTTATTTATTTAAGATATTTACAAAGCATTTGTTTATTTCATGCTTTATTTACAGATAATTAATGAGAACAAGTTAGCAGCTAGCGAACTCCTTTTGGAATTAATGGTTAGAATTGCGTCGCATCCTCAGCAATGGGAAAAGGTCCATAAGTTATTACGTAAGTATTTCTACATATTTCTTATACAGGGTGGTTCTGATTTTATCAGGAAAAAGGTAGGGGTGCACACAAGTGCCCGTATTTTCGTCTAGACGTAAAAAATTTCCTTGATCGTGTACACGGTGTGCGGTAATTTGAGGAAGGTTGACCCACATGATTGTTTCTCTGGTGTCCCGATGTCAATTTTATCACCTTTTTGTTTGGGAGTGTTTGTAAAATATCTATCAGACACAGTTAGATAGACATTTTTGTTGCTCGGGATCTTTTTGACTGAGACCCGAGATGTATATAGAACATAATATATACGTAAGAATTAAAATCTTTTGCCAAATTTGACAACTTCTAGCGGCTAAACGACGCTATTTTGGAGGTAAGTTCAGTTATATCTATTTTAATCCAAGAATTTTCGCTAGTTAAATGTCCGTGGAATATAAGGACACCCTGAATTACAATAGGGGTATTATTATTATTAAAAGTTATCCTAATATTGGCTCACTCTTTATATACAATCGCTATTATACTTTTACCTACCATCTCGAAATACCTATATTTTTCATTTAACCGAAATACAAGATCTGTTCAGAACATAACCGAACTTTTTTTTAAGCTTTATTATTAATTTTGTACATTATTGGTCATTGCCTCGTTTTATCCTCCGCCATTCACATGTGTGTTTTCTCAGCGGTGTTTCCGTCTTGTGAATCAGTCCCGGATAGCTTCATTTGAAATGGCTTTTAATGTTTGCGACGAGTTTGCTTTGATGATCAATAGTCTGAAAACAGCATCCTTTCAGCACTGCTTTTAATTTCGGACAAAAAATCGCAAGGAGCCAGGTCTGGTAAGTAAGCAGGATAAAGGAGGACAGTAACCTGATTTTTGGCACAAGATTGAAGAATTAACAAAGCTAAGTGTGCGGGCGCATTGTTATGGTGAAAGAACCATGAGCTGTCTCGCTACAACTCTGGTATTTTTTTGTAGATTTTTTCACGCAACCGCTGTAAAACGCCTGCACACGGTTCACTGTTTCATCTTAAGGCAGGAATTAAAAATGTACAATTCCATTAAAGTCTAAAAAAAACAATGAGTATCGCATTGACATTGGATCGAAATTGACGTGTTTTCTTAGGCGTGGAGATCCTTTACTAATCCATTGTTGTAGGAGATTGCTGGATTATTGTTTGCTTGTTCGAAGGACTTTTTCGATGTTTTTTTCCTACATTCCGTGAGGTAGTGCCAATAAGCACGCGTGAAGTCAGTCCACAACTAATTTACTGTTTCCGCTAACAATGGAATAAATATTTAATATTTTTGGGAATAACTGGGCTCAGGGGGGACAGCTATACAGGGTGTCTCATAATTAGCTGCCAACCTTGAACAGGCCGATTCTATGATCAAAACTAAGTAAAAAAGTTCATATGAACATGGGTCCGGAAATGCTTCCTAAGGGCACAGGGACCCATTGAAGAGGGAGGAATGGAAATCATTTTTTTGCAATATCTCTCAATCGCGTTGTGATAAATGAATGAAATTTGGTATACACAGCTAAATTTTGATGAGCAATTTGATGGACTAATCCATTTATTTCCACAAGGTCCATTGGGGTGGGTACGGGGGGGCCCTTGGTACTTTGCGTGTGTAACTTTTTCATCTTTGACTTTTTAACAAATTGGACAGCAAATTCCGTTTTCCCGAACTGTTTTACGTTAAAAAGGTACTCTTGTTTCAAATCGTTATCTTTAACGGTTTCTGAGAAAATCGCTCTTGAATTAATCCCACTTTGGTCAATTTCATAGTAATTTAAACAAAAAATAATAATAATAATTTAATACGTAATCAGTAATACACATTATTGATGTAGAACAATTATGATATGATGATTTGTTTATGGCTTTTGCGATGGTAATGCTGCGCGGCAGAACGCGAGTACGGCAGAAGGTTTCCAAACAGAAGGCTGACATCAAGGAGGACATTCCTCACTGTATTCCGCAATTTAGCTGCAACCGTCACTTTTCGAAGGGATCATAAGATGGAAACTTAATTTTGATAACAGACAACAAGCTATTTTAAAAACTGTTCAAAAAACCCTCCACCTTCTCTGATACAAAGTCTTGCCCTACGTGTAACACTTCTCGAAGCTATTAAGATGCTAAAACGGTTTTGACGAATTTCATTGGCTGCATCATTGATACGCTGCAGCAATTCCTCACGGGTATCGACTTCGGTGGCGTAAACTTTTTGATTTAGATATCCCCAGAAAAAGAAGTCCAGCGGGGTTAGGTCGGGAGAACGCGGCGGCCAAGCTACCGGTCCGTGCCTCCCTATCCACCGTCCAGCGAAATTTTCGTTTAGGAAATTTAGAACATTGCGACCACTATGTGCCGGGGCTCCATCGTGTTGAAAAAACATGTTACGTCGTAAATTTAGAGGCAGATCATCGAGAATTTGGGGAAGATTTTCTTGAAGTAAGTTTAAATAAAGATTTGAATTGAGACGTTGTGGAATTTCAATAGGTCCAATCAGAGTGTCGTGAATTATTCCCGCCCATAAATTTATGGAAAACCGTTGCTGGAAGTTTGTTCTCCGAACAACATGTGGGTTCTCTTCTTCCCAATAATGAGAATTATGAAAATTTAATTTTCCATTTCGGGTAAAAGTAGCTTCGTCACACCACAAAATTTTGGAAGCTTGCTCGTTGTCCAGCGACAAAATCCAGCGACAAAATTGCATACGTGGCGCAAAATCTTCTGGTATCAAGCCATGTACACGTCGATAGTGATAGGCATGTAGACCTTGTCGCTTTAATATTCTTCCAACCTGAAATGTTAGTAGCACATCTAATCAATTCTGTTAAGGAAATCTTTAAGATATGTAGTACCGTTGGCCGAGGAACATTTATTTGCCTTGAAATGTTCCGTATGCTAGTCGTAGGATCTTGTTCAATAGCGTCAAGGACCTCCGCTTCCCTATTAATCCTGGGACGTCCTTGACCCGGTGCCTTTCGAAAAGTGGCGGTTGCAGCTAAGTTGCGGAATACCGTAGGGAATGTCCTCCTTGATGGCAGCCTTCGGTTTGGAAACCTTCTCCCGTACTCGCGTTCTGCCGCTGCAGCATTACCATCGCAAAAGCCATAAATAAATATCATATCAACTAACTCTTGTCCCGTAAACTCTTCCATTTTTTTCGCTTAGAACTATTAAATTGGCAATCGGGTTGACAATACTTTGACATAAGAATACCTTGATAATTTTGTTTAAATTACTATGAAATTGACCAAAGTGGGATTAATTCAAGAGCGATTTTCTCAGAAACCGTTAAAGATAACGATTTGAAACAAGAGTACCTTTTTAACGTAAAACAGTTCGGGAAAACGGAATTTGCTGTCCAATTTGTTAAAAAGTCAAAGATGAAAAAGTTACACACGCAAAGTACCAAGGGCCCCCCCGTACCCACCCCAATGGACCTTGTGGAAATAAATGGATTAGTCCATCAAATTGCTCATCAAAATTTAGCTGTGTATACCAAATTTCATTCATTTATCACAACGCGATTGAGAGATATTGCAAAAAAATGATTTCCATTCCTCCCTCTTCAATGGGTCCCTGTGCCCTTAGGAAGCATTTCCGGACCCATGTTCATATGAACTTTTTTACTTAGTTTTGATCATAGAATCGGCATGTTCAGGGTTGGCAGCTAATTATGAGACACCCTATATAGAATAAAGTGATAGGTATACAAAGGACGTACTACTTACGATTAGCTTTTCCCTTTTGGAAGTGTATGATTTTGCTTGGGATGGTGGACTGGAGGCTACGTTAGCGTTTAACTATCAATTGGAGAGCCAGTGTCCTAATACTACGGTGACAAAGTAGTGTCTGCGGGGCTAACGGCCGTTCTGGCCACTGCGATGTTCTTATGTGACTCCGGATAATTCTGATTGCGAGTCTCCACAATAGACAAATGACTACTCCTCACTGTGGACTCTCTGCGCCCTTCGTTGGGAAGACGATTCCGAGTCGTAGTACGGGGGAATCGGGAGTAATGGGGGGACAAGCTTTAAAAGCGGAGCGAAACAATATTTTTAATTAATAGGAATGAAGGATGGACGAAACAATTGTGATGATTGAACTTTTGTGTCAGTGTCGTTGCCGTAAACCCAACTTTCATCTGGCGTTATGATCCTTTGAATAAATGTTTCATAGTCATCGGATTGTTCAAGCAGTTGCCGACAAACTTCCACACGATTTTCTTCCTATTGTTCGGTCATTAAACGAGGAACAAATTTTGATGGAACTAGATGTATGTTTTTCAGTCAAAATTTCATGGCATAACTTCTTTTGAAATTTTTCTGACAATCAATCATCGATTTGCACGCACCAAATTTTTGGCTTTCTGAACGTGTGAATCATTGATTGAAGTCAAAGGCCTTCCTGGTCGAGGATCATCTTCAATTAACTGATCACCGCTTTCAAATCTTGAAAACCATTGGTAGTGTTGCGTACGACATATAGCATCATCTCCGTAAGCTTGGTTCTACAGTTGAAATATTTCCGTGAAAGTTTTCTCCAGTTTCACGCAAAATTTTAAGTTGCATCGTTGTTCTAGAAAATCGCATATTTCAAAAATTATTATTAACTCTTAACGTTGCGCTCAAATAACAATATTACGAAAACTAAATGAGATATCAACAATCTAAAATGCTGATTACATTAGAGGTTACACGCAATGCAATGCTGACAACCGCGTATCACTCAATATCTCCATTAGCGCGTAATTTAAAAAGTTCTGTTATTTTATGAACATACCTCGTATTACCTCCAAGTGAACCAGACTTACCAAACAAATACGTGCATAAAAAAATGGTAGAGTAAACTTTCTATAATATAATTGAAATTTCAGCGTACTAAGAAGTAAACTTCCTGACAACATTATCAGTTCGTAACTCCAGTCTTCCTCAAAGAACTTGCACTCGTAAGTGGCTGATAAGAGACTGCGGAAGAGTG